CCATCCATCTACCCATCCACCCACCCACCCATCCATCCGTACATCCATCCATCCATCCATCCACATTGGGGCTCTCTCATGTACTGGGTCCTGGGGAGATGTACAGATGGCCTTACATTGTTGCAACTTGTTGGAAGGTGGTCAGTTCTGGGGCTCTGGGGAGATAGGAGTGGGGGTGCTCAGAGCAGCTCTACCCTCTCCTGTTCTGTCCCTATTGGAATGCTCTTTACCTCTCCTAACACAAGATGGCCCTACAGGGGCAGACACATGGGTCAGCCAAGGATGGAGACCCTTTGGAGAGCTTCCAGAGACACTTGGGAGCTGGGCCAGCCACACAGCCGAACTCGCCTTCCAGGTGGCATGGCTGATCTGCACCATGAGCTTGACTCTGCCGACCACCCTCTCCAACCGTCAATCCAGGGCTGCTCTGAGACGTCCAGGCCATAGGAGTGGAGCAGCCCAGATTTGAGGAGAAGGAGAGGTCCCCAGCTCTGGTCCTGCGGAGCTCAAGCCCACAGTGTAAGCTGTCCGGGTGGAAGCTAAGGTTCTCACCATGCCAAGTAGTTGGTGCCTGCCCTGGTTGCCAGGACCCCAGGGACATGAGGCCTGCCATGGTGTCCTGGGGGCCACGGGGGCTGGTGAGACCCTGTTACCCTCATAGCATGAGCTCCCCATGGGCCCCACATCACACCCTCCACTGAGGCTAGGGCCCACCAGGAGACACTGTGGAGGCCCAGGCAGAGAGTGAGCTGGTGGGGGGAATGCCTGGGAAGGGCACCCAAGGGGCAGGTGGGCCCTGGGGCTGAGCACTTGCTCTGACCAGCCTGTCGGGCTGGGCTGGGAGCAGCAGTGAGCCCTGTGACCACTGGACCCTGCTGGCCAGAGCCACCACTGGAGGGGACTCAGGGAGACATCACCACTGGAAGGTCAGGCCAGGCACTGCGGCTTAGACATTAGGCAGGGTGCTTGGGACACCTGGCCTCTGTCTTCCTGCCACAGAGCTCCTGCAGCCCCCCTGGGCCCCACAGCCCCCCAGACTCCGCTCAACCCATGAGAGGCTGGGGCTGCGGAACCCCTCATGGGGTTGCCCCCACTCAGTGTGAGGCCCACCTGGGTCAGGGCCACCCCGGGACTTGGGGACCAACCTGGGTAAGACTGACAGCATGAACCGTACCTGTGTGCTGGGCACAGGCCAAGGCAAGAGCCAGGGCCCAGAGCGGGGCCAGCCTCCTCCTCCGGCCGACAGCCATGGTGTGGGTGACGGAAGAGTCCCCGGGGACGGCTGTGAGGAGGGGATGAAGCCTGCAGGAACCTTTTGTAGCCCCAGGGCTGGCTCAGCCCAGCACCCCACGTGGGTGGGTGGAAGAGTCCCCGGGGACGGCTGTGAGGAGGGGATGAAGCCTGCAGGAACCTTTTGTAGCCCCAGGGCTGGCTCAGCCCAGCACCCCACGTGGGTGGGTGGGGCGTGGCCTGAGACTCCCCCTCGCCCAGGTAAACAGTAGGTGCTCACTGCAGCAGGCAGGGGATGGGCGGGGCTACTGGGGTGGGACCTGGTTTGCCAAGGGCCCCCAAAGTCCTGGCCCAAAGGCACCCTCCTCCCAGGGCCCCACCCTGGACTTTGCTGGGCCACTCTCGAGGCCTGACCTCCATCCCAGGCCTGGAGACGCTGTGAGACCCCCAGTCCCCGGGTGGCTGTAGTCTGCAGGCCAGAGGCACAGCCCAAGCCACAGGTCCCCTCCTCCCTGTGCAGCCCAGTGGACCACTCGTCCCTGTGGCTGTGAGTTGGGAGTCCCGAGTGCCCACAGGGCCGGGCCGCCTCAGCACTACCCAGAGAGCCCCTGCCCAGTGGAGCTTTGGGGAGAGGGTGCCACGGTGTGATGGACTGTCGGCCGTAGGTGAGGGGGGGTGGGCAGGGGGCTCCACATCTGGGCAGCCAGGGACACTGGGTCTGGACTCTGCTGTCTGTTCCAGGACAGAGGCTGGGCTTGACTAGGAGGCCTCACCAGGGTGGGGTCACCCTTCCCTGCAGGTCCTGCAGGAGGGGAGCTCTGGGCTCTCTCAGGCCATTTAGTCTCTGTCTCCTGAGCTGCCCCTCACACATGGAAGGATCCAGTCAGGACAACAAGGAGGATCAGTGAGCAAAGGAGTGAGTGAGTGAATGAGTGAATGAGTGGTCACAGGAGTGTGAGCGAACACAAGAGTGGGGGCATCAGACTTTCAGACTGAAGTGCTGGGGCACCCTGCCCAGCCATGGGCTAGACACCAGGCCTCTGGTGTCCAGGTCCCACCCAAGCCAGCAAGTGAACAGTGGCCTCTCCAGCCAGCCAAGGGCTCTGGTGGGTCCTGAGGGACGGGTGACAGAAGGTGGGAGGATGTTTGGATCAGTGGTGTGGGGGGAGAGAAGGACTCGGACAGCCCTTGGTCCAGCTGTGTCCGCTGTGATCAGCAGGGGTCAGGCTCTGAGTGACGGCTGGCCCCTCCTGGGAGCACACCCTGCAAGTTGGAGCTGGGGGCCAAGTTATGGGCAGTGGGGCCACTCCAGGCAGCCGACAACACCCTCTTCAGCCCACCTTCCATGGGATGCTGCAGGGTCCCTGGGGGTCCTCCCAGGCCCCGACTGGGACACCTGAACCCCCAACATGAGCCCACAGGCCGACCACCCGGTCTGTAAAAATCCGGTGCAGGCCAGATGCCCATTAACATCTCAGCAGCCCCTCCCCTGGGACCACCAACCCCACAGCCCAGTGGAGGTCCAGGCACTGGCCAAGGCCCAGGCCCAGTGCCCACTAACATTTGAGGCTCTTGGGCCCCTTGGCCACCGGACACTGCAGAGCCAGGCAGGCAGGTCTGATGGAAGCCTGGGGAGAGGGAGGAGGCCGATGCTCTAGGCAGGGCTTCCGCAACTTTCCAGAATGCCCTGGTTACAGGCACAGCTCAGCCTTGTTTCTGAGCCATGCTAATGGCCCCCTGTGCATCCCAGGGCCAGTGAGGGTGCTGGGGACCCAGGATGCAGGGCCTAGAACGTCCCTTCTGCCTTAGCCCTGAGAACTCTCCCCTAGTTCCAGCAAGGCCCACTCACCCTGAGGACTCCCTCCAGCCCATATTCCTAGGGGTTCCCATGGGAGGGGCCTGCAGTCAGTCCCCATCTGCAAATCCAGCCCTTCCCGGGGACTTCCCAGCCCTCAGGCCGGGCTGAGGCCCAGAGTCCCTGTCCCCCACTTTCAGATGCCCCTTGTGGACTTGACTGGGTTGGTGACAGAGGCCTTGGCAAGTGCCTGGGCTGTGGGGCTGGTGGTCCCGAGGGAGGGCCTGCTGGGAATGGCACATCCTCCAAACGCAGAGGCGACAGGGGTGACTCCCAGCCGGCAGGGCCCACCCTCCCGTGGGGGCAGGGGCAGCATCTGAGGCCAGGTGAGGCAGCTGTGTGGCTTGGGACAAGCCATTGTTGCCGCAGCCTTAGTCTCCCACCTGAAAGTGGGCAAGGAGAAGCTTGCTGACCCGACCTATGAAGATGCGCTGTGCGGACGCCTCATGCAGGAGAGCAGCCTCCCCCAGGCAGTGGCCCAGAGCCCTGGCTGCCCTCCTTTGTCCTGAGGCCACACATCTCAGTGGTGGCCAGCCACTGAACCTCCTCCCAATCTGGTCAGCATCCAGGCTCACAAGCCTGGAACAAGACAGGGCCTCATTCAGAGACGGTGGGAGCACGTCCCGTGGGCTCTCCCCCAGGCATAGACATGTGAAGAGGAGTGAGCAGAGCACCAGGGCAGGTGGCGGCTGAGGCTAAGTCCCCGATGTCACACCCCACCTCCACCCCACAGGCCTGACTCAGGTCAGGGACCCCCTGTTTGTCAAGGTTGATTGTCCTGAGGCCGCTCAGAGAAGACTGACCAAGGCTGGCCTGGATCCGGCCAGGAACAGGCCTTGAGGTTGAGGGACGGTCAGTCAGGTGGGCCTGGCCTCCACTGAAGGCTCCACCTTGTTGCCTCTATCTAGCCCTCCTCTGGGGACGTCAGTCCTTGCTGGTAGGGCCGCTGGTAATGGTGCCCCTTCTCCAATCGCTGTGCACGTGGCCCAGCCCAGCACGACTTGGGGTCTCCTTGCACTGGGGAGTGTCCAACCCTACTTCTCCCCTCCAGCTCCTCACATGCCTGGCAGGGAGGGAGTCAGGGGCTGTGGGCTGCAAGCTAAGCCCCCACCCTACCCCAGGCTGACCCAGGCCCCACCCTAGGCTGACCTTGACCTCAGCCCAGCCCAGCCCAGCCCAGCTGTTTACCGCCGAGGTGAGGGGGGGACCGCTGGTTTCAACACTGTCCCCCGGGCTGGGCTGCCCCAGACCTGTCACTCCAGTCCAGTGTCTGAGCACACCCTGAGGCTCCAGATCCGGTGACCTGCAGGCCCGTCAGGCTCAGCCCAGTTCTGGCCGGCGGCATCCAGGCGGGCCGGACTCTCCTGGTGATTCTCGGGCCAGACTCTCCTCAGCCCTCCGCCTCCCTCAGGGCAGGCTTGAGAGGGGAGAGTTGGGGAGCTAGGAGCCTCGTGTAAAGTCCTCATGCTGTGCCCTCAGGGTTCCAGGGATGGCGTGTCCCTGGGGGGGCGGGCAAGAAGGTGGACACAGTGCCGTCCAGCCTGCCTAAGACACCCCAGCCAGGGCCAACCAGTGGGACCAAAGGCCCCACACTGAGCACCCTCAAGGGCCTGCAGGGCAGGGGCACAGAGAAGATGAGGACCCCCAGGAGGCCCAGGGCACCCAGCCCAGCCCCTACCTTGAAGAGACACGGAGCCCGCAAACAAGCTCTCAAGGACAAGCTCTCAGTGATTCATGATCAGAGACTTGACACGTCCACGGGGACTGCATGTCCATCAGCTCCAAGCCACCCTGGGCCCTGCACCTCCCGCCCTCCGGACACAGTGCCTGCCTGCCACCATGTGACCCTTCCCCGGACGGCCATGTTCCAATGCTGCCAGAGGCTCTGCCTCTGCACGGGCTATGGAGACAGGCGGGTCTGACTGTCAGCTGCCGTCGGTCAGGACTTGCTGTGGCCGCCAAGCCAACCCTGACTCAAGGGCCCTCCCACGTGCCAGCACAGATCCGCACCCCACAGGGCTCTCGCGGCTGATCTTCCAGGAGATTGCCAGGCCTTCCTTCTGCAGTGCCTCCAAGTGAACTTGAGCCCCCCACCATTTGTTAACAGCCCGGTGCACTAACACTTCTTGGACCCTGCCCTTGGTCAGAAAGTGTGTTTATTTTATGGCCAGAGAGAGGAAGAAACCACAGGGGACATGAGACATGTCCTGGCTACAAACATGGTAAGATGTGCAAAATCCATAGGGCTGACAAAGGCGTGTCATCAGCCCGTAAGCAGATGAGTACCTGGGAGGCCAAGCAACCCCCCAAAGTCTTGCAGGGAGGGTGGGGTGGCCAGACCCCACGAAAGCAGTGGCAGAGCCAACACTGAGCCCCCCAGGACCCAGCACAGCTGCATGAACTCAGCTCCGTTGGTCCTCGAGCACCAGCTCCCTGTGGGAGATGCTGCATCTTCCCAGCTCACAGAAGGGGCACAGAGAGGGTGACCACTGGCCTGGGGCCACACAGCTGGGGGAGAGCTAGGACTCGTTCTGCCCTGGGTCAGCTCTGACCAAGGACACACAACTGTGCCCCAGCCCTGTTTCCTTTCTGGCCATTCCGGTGCACCTTTGAGTCTGGTGTGGGCGCTGGGGCTCCAGGCTTGCCCAGCAAGGCCTCAGACCACCCAGAGCACCTGAGCTGGGGGCGGGGAGCTGCTGATGCTGTAATTAGGGGGCGTTTCAGTGGGGTAATTCCTGCCACTCTAGGCTTTCTGGGAAAAACTGAGTGGTCAGATGACAACAGGTCCTCCAAGCTGGTGGAAAGGAAGTGGCCCCACTGGCCGAGGTTCAGATGCCGTGCTTACTGGAACGGGCTGTGTTGACAGAAAGGGCAGGCCCTCGCAGCTCAGCGCCAGGGACTTCCGTGATAAGAGGAAGGCGGGAACCCTCTCCTTGTCACTCTGGGGGTCCGGGAGCCGCGATGGCCATGGGTGGGGCTGGCCGCTCATGCAGCCACAGAGCAGGGCATCGCTCGGAGCAGAGAGTAAATTTGGTTTTAGGGCTGCACAGATTGGAATGCCTTCACACTTGTTTGTTTTCTGAATCACTGGGTACACGGTCCTCCTCCTGGGACCCAGAACTCGGCTGAACGGGCAGCCCTGACCCGGGCCATGGCACTGAGGCCCCAGCCCAGGGCCGAGGTCATCCTCCGTGTGCATGGGGCCGGGCGTGTCAGTGCTCGGCAGCAGGGGGTCCCCTCATCCCTGGGTCTGACACAGCTTCTCCCGTCAGGTCCTTGTGCCCCAACTGCCCCAGCGTCAGCCTCCCCAGCAGCTCACACTGGGCCCTCCGATCACTTGGGCCCTAGTGCCCTGTCCAGCACAAGCACCTCAAATAAATGTGGACAAGGGGGTGCTGCAGGCCTGTTGGTCAGCCGTGCTTCAGCACCGAGGGGTCCGTGACACTCAGCAGTGTGGGGGCTGCTCCCTGAGCAGCTCTGGCCTCCCAGCAATGGGGGCACTCATCCTAGTCCTGTGGCCTGCGCCTCATTTCCCCAAAACTCTCCCGTACCCTCCAAGGCCTCTGCAACTCCATCCCCCCAAGCAGAATGCATCCCTGGCTCTGGGACCCCGTCCTTTGGCTGGGATCTTGGGGCACTGCAGTCCTGAGGTCCCAGGGACGGCATCATGACCTAGGTGGAACCACCAGTCCCAGGAAGAAGGAGGGCCATCAGTTCAGAGGGAACAGGGTATCCGTCAGAGGCCCCCCCACCCCCAGCACAGCTCAGTGTGTTCTCAGCAATACGAAGCTGCACTTATCAACCTCGGAACAAAGCCCCACCGTCAGCAGGGCACAGAGCCAATTTGGTCACCGAGGGAAGAGACAAGAAAGAGTTCAATCCTTCGTTAGTAAGCTGGGCATAGGCAGGCTTTCAGAACACTCCCAGAGTCCGCAGTGGGCAAGCGCAGGGTTAAACATAGGTTGAGAAAGAGCTTGTGGTGATGTGTACACACTCCGTCCCCAAGGACTGGGCTCCTTACCCAAAAGAAGGGGGCAGCGAGTCCCCCAGGGATGACCCCAGCCTCTCAGCTCCAGAGGCATCCGTACCAGATGCGTCTGTCTGTCTAGGCTGGCTGCTCTGGATCGTCTCAGGCTGTCTTGTTGACATCTTGGTTTTGTTGGCACAGTGGGTGAGACATTTGGGTGCTAACCAGAAAGTCAGCGGTTCAAACCCACCAGCTGCTCTGAGGGAGGAAGAGGAGGCAACCTACTTCCATGAAGATCAACAGCCTTGGAAACCCAGTGGGGGTCACTATGAGTTGGAATCGCCTGGATGGCAATGGGTTTGGGTTTTGGGTTTGGGTTTTGTGCCGTTGGGTCCGAGTGCCTCTGGGTAGCTGGTACACGAGGTTTTTGCCCCACCTTCAGAAAGCACCAAGTAACCTGAGGTGGCCTGGGCAGACCCTTCCATGGACACATGAAACTCCCCCTATTGTGGGGCTGCCTGGCATCTGCTCTCTGTGCCCACCACTCTCTCGGGCAGCCTTGGAGACTTCCTGTCTGTGGGTGGCCGCTGGGCCCACGCCCTGCCGTCCTGAGCCCCCTCCTCATATCTGCTTTTTCCGACTCACCATCGGGTTGATTCTGACTCTTGGAGACCCATGTGTACAGAGCAGAGTTGCTCTGTGGGTTTTCAAGGCCATCACCTTCCAGAGCAGACCTCCAGCCTCTTGGTGGGTTTGAACCAACAACCTTTCCGTTAGTAATCGAGGGCTTCACCACTTGCCCCAGAACACAAGTAAGCCAGCAAAGCCCGCGGGGATGTTCACCCAGCACATCGGCTCTTAGACAGGGCTGGGCCAGGGCCAGAGACCCCAAGATATCAGGGCTAAGTCTCCGAGTCTGACTGAGGCAAGGGGGCCCCAACCACCCCAGACTCTCCTGTGACAGACACAGCCCCTGGCGTGCACAGACACACACCAGGATATCATGGGAGGAGGGTGCAAGTAAGCAGGGCCACAGTTGTCCCGACACACCTGAATCATGGACCTCAGGCAGGTTAGGACAGGTCCAGCCTGGTGGTGGCAAGAGCCACTAGGCCCAGAGGACCTGTCACATGGCTGGCCAGGGTCTGGCACTGTTCCACCAATCAGGGGCTAGGGACCCATGCACTGCATAGCTCCTGGACTCTGCTTACCTCCATTCCCCTCGGCTGACCCAACTACACACCTGTGAGCTCTAAGCTGCAGGGGGTCAGGGCCATGGCCTCATCTGAGGAATGGGTGAGGGGAGCATGGCCCCAGTGTGGACTCCTCCCTGAGCCCACACAGGTGGGCAGAGAAATTGCCATGTCCCCTAGAGAGGATCAGGGAGGTGACAGCCAGGTGCCCTGGCAGCTGGGGAAGTAACACCAAGAGACGTGTGCCAGACAGTCCTGAGTGAGACAAGCAGCACCCATCACACCTCTCACAGGTTCAGGTCTATAGATGTGTGGGCAGAAAATACCAGAAGGAAGTGCAGGGAAATGACCGCAGTGCTCAGATCTGGATGGGGTGATCACTCCTTTCTCTGAAAGCAAACACACAAGAACTATAGCTGAAGCACTGTAGCAGTCAAGGTCTGCACACACACACGGACACACAGTGCACACACATGCACATACAGACATACATGAACACATACTCAAACACATGCACATGCACACATACAAGCACACACAGAAACGCACACTCACACACAAACCATACACACTAAACACATACACAAACACACATATACTCACACATGTGCACTCACACACACCCATTTAAACACATACAAGCACACATCCTGTAAGAAGGAGGGTCAGAGTCAGAGAGAGATCTGAAGACGCCACTGGATTTGAAGATGGAGGAGGGGCCGTGAGCCAAGGAAAGCAGGCAGCCTCTAGAAGCCAGAAAAGGCAAGGAAAGGTATTCCCACCTGAAACCTCGAGCAGGAAGCAGCCCTGCCAACCCCTTGACAGTCATCCATTGAGGATGGCTTTGGATTCTGACCTCCGGAACACTGAGATAGTAAATGTGTCCTGTTAAACCATGTAGTTTGTGGCCGTTCATCACATCATCCATAGGACACTATGTACCTTATATCACCAACCTTGTTAAATTTAAGTAAGAGTTCCAGTAATTTTCAGATTGATTTGGATTTTCCATGAACACAATCATGATACCTGCAAATTAACACCATTTGTTTCTTCCTTTCCAATCTTTGTGGCTTTTATTTGTTTTTATTGCCTTATTGCTTTGGCTACAGCCTCTAGTACAATGCTGAATAGCAGTGGTGAGAACAGGCATCCTTGTCTTGTCTTCAACCTTAGGGGGCAGCACTCACCATTCCACCATTAAGTGTAGTATAAGCTGAAGGATTTTTCCTAGAGCTCTTTTTTTTTTAAAGATTTTCAATTTTATATCAAATTAGGTATCAATTACATACCTATGATAGAATTAATAAATCATGCGGATTTTTCTACTTCATGTCAAATTCAATAACTTCTTGACTGATTCTTTGTACTGAGAAATGGTATTTTCATTTTCCGCCTCATTCTTAAGACTAGTAACAGACTTTCTGTAATCTTCAGTTTCTTCAGTACCAAGGAGCTCTTCTTTATTCACTTCTGTATTTTTCTCAGCAGCTTTAATTTGGAGAAGTGTTTCCAGGATATTTTTTTCTGAGGAGCTATTTTTCCAAACATACTCCTCCATGTCTGCTTCATTCTTATATTTTTCCCATTCTTCAGTTTTCCAAGATTCATGATATAAAACTGTTAGTAGATACATTGCATAATCATAATTCTGTCTCTTTGAAGGGCACCTATCTGTTTTGATAGTAAGCACATCTGTGGTCTTGCAGTATTGCTCTCCTACAAGTTTAATAAGTTTCTTCTTTGCATGATCATCTAAATTCAGACTGGAAAGTTTAACCCTTAATGTTACTACTTGTGCTTTAGGATTTCGAACAGATGGTCCTGCTGAAATATAATCAGCTGTGTCTATTTCAATTGGAAAATGCTTCTCACATTTCTCATCACTGTCTAGTGCAGTTGGCCACTCAGTGCAGAAATCTTTAAGAGCTTCACAGTGTTTTTTAATTGCTACAGGGGTCAAATGCAGAAAATTGGGGATCTTTAAAAGTTCTAGATTTCCCTCCTTTGCCATGGGCACTCCCCTCTTTACTAGATAACCCATTCGAACAGGAAGAGGTACTGCAGAGGGTTTAAATGATGCTGCAACAGGGTAAACACTAGGCCAGTCTTAGTCAACAATTATTTTCTCTGTCCTAGGAGGCAGTGCCTTTCTTCTCATCAGCCTTTCATTTCTGTACATTTTAATGCTTTCTGTTGTACGCGAGCTTGATCTCTGTGTTCGAGTGGTCCGAGACACCGCGGTAGAAAAGGCACGCAAGGTCCTGGCCCCCGGCTGCAGGAACAACCACACCGGGAGCCCAGCGGCCACCATCCCTAGAGCTCTTTTTATCAGATGGAAGAAGTTACATCAATTCCATTTGCTAAGGAGGTTTTTGGGTTTTTTTCATGAACATTTGTTGGATTTTATTAGATTTTGTACAAATTGAAATGATCACCATTACTCATGACAAGTCTGAAGGCTTCACACTTTGTTGACATCTGAAACAATTGTTGTGTTGTTATGTGCCATCAAGTCGGACCTGACTCATAGCGACCCCTCCTTGGGTTTCCAAGGCAGTATAACTACTGAAGTAGATTGCCCCATCTTCCTTCCAAGGAGAGGGTTTGAACCACCAGCCTTCTGGTTAGCAGTCCAGTGCCTTAGGCACTACGCTACCAGAGCTCCCTATACATACATATATATTATTATTATTATTATTTCAGCCATTCTAATAGGAATGTTGACACTGTTGACATGGTAGCTGCGGCGATGAGCTCAAGTGTAGCAAGGATCGAGGAGCTGGCGTGGGACGAGGTGGTGTTTTGTTCTGCTGTGCATGGGGTCCCTGTGAGTTGGAGACGACTTGATGGTACCTAACAACAACAGAATGTGGAGCTCTGGTGATGCTGTGGTTAAAGCACTGAGCTGCTACCCAAAAGGTCTGCAATTCGAACCCACTGGCTGCTCCACAGCAGAAAGATGAGGCTGTCTGCTTCCATAAAGATTTGCAGCCTTGGAAACCTTACCTGACAGTTCTACTCTCCTTGTAGGGCCACTGTGACTTGGAATCAACTCAGTGGCAGTGGGTTGGGTTTGGTTTCATGGGTACGTGTGATATCTGGTGGTTTCAATCTGAATTTCCCTGAGGGTTAAAGATGAACCATCACTGAACACAGCTTTCATGCTTATTCACCATTTTCCATGCAGACGCCTTCTTGGTCGGAATGTCTGCTCCAAATTTTGACCATTTTTCAAATTGAGTTGTTTGTTTTCTTATTGGCAAGTTTTGAAAATTCTTGACGTACTCTGGCTATCAGTCCTTGATCTGCTGTGATTTCCTCTTTTGGACATACCATATTCTTTGTATATTGCTGAATTCTGTTTGCAAATACCTTGTTGAGGAATTTTGTGTGTACATCCATGAGGTATATTAGTCTGTAGGTATTTTGTATTGTCTCTGTCTCTGGTAGCATAGTGCCTAAGGCACTTGCCTGCTAACCAGACGGCTGGCAGTTCAAACCCACCAGCCACTCCTCGGAAGGAAGGTTGGGCAATACTACTTCCGTAGTGATACTGCCTCGGAAACCCAAGGAGGGGTCGCTATGAGTCGGGGCCGACTCGACGGCAAACAACAACAACAACAACAACAACATTGAATTTGTAAAATGAATTGAGAAGTATTCCTTCTTCTATTTCTTAGAAGAGATTGTATGGAATTGGTGTTAATTCTCTTTTGAAGGTTTGATAGCATTCTGCAACCATCTGGCCTGGGGATCCCATTCCTTTTTTGGATGGGGGGCGGTTTGAATGACTCAATCGATTTCCTTCATAGTGATAGACATACCAAAATTTCCTATTTGTAGAGGGTGAATTACGGCAGTTTTTGCTTTTCGAGTAATTGGTTCATTTCATCTAAGTTGCCAGATGTATGTGTCCGGAATTGGTTGTCAGAGCCTCTTCTTATCCTTTGATGTCTGCAGGGTCTGTAGTGACATCCTTACTTCATTTCTGACACTGGCTGTTTGTTACCAGTCTCGTTAGAAGTCCGTTCACTTCACCAGTCTTTTCTCTGCTTCACAGGTTTTTCCCTGTTGGTTTTCCGTGCTGTTTCACTGGTTGTGCGGTTGTCTTCAGGATGGACTGCCTTCCACTCGCTTTGGGTTTGTTGTGATCTTCTCTTCTAAACTTTCGAGGTGGGAGCTTCAGCTATTGGTTTGAGATGTTCTTCTTAAATGTGAAACTCCTCTTTTTGAAAATGTATCCATTTATGGCTCTGAGCTCTGCTTTGGCTGTGGCCTTGGGTTTCAGTGTAGGGCATGTCCGTCTTCTCTCACTTCCATGCATTGTTTAATCTCCTTTTTGACCCATGGATTATTTAGCTGTGCGCTGTTTGGTTATCGAATGTTTGGAGATTTTCCTGTTATTTATGATTTTATTGATTTCTAATTTGGCTGCTGACTGGAAGTTTCACGGTTCAAACCCACCAGCCACTCCACAGAAGGAAGAAGAGGCAGATGCTATGAGTTGGAATCAACTTATGGCAGAGCGTTTGGTTATTATTATTATTATTATATTGTGTTACATTTGTTTAGGTTTGTTTTATGGTCCAGGATAAGGTCTATCTTGGTATATGTTCTGTAGACACTTGAAAAGAATGTATATCTGTTGTTATTGGGTAGATGTTCTATGAATATTGATTAGATCCTGTTGGCTGATGGTGGTGTTGTTGAGTTTCTCTCCAGTCATCCTATCAAGTACTGATAAAAGGTATTGAAATCTCCTGCTATAGTTGTAAATCTCTGTATTTCTTTCACTTCTATCATTTCTTTGTTTCATATGTTTTGCAGCTCTGTTGTTTGGTGCACATATATTTAGAATTGCTCTGTCTTCTTGGCACTTGACTACTAACCAGAAGGCTGGTGGCTCAAACCCACCAGCTACTCCTTGGAAGGAAGATGGGGCAATCTACTTCCATAGTGATACTGCCTCGGAAACCCAAGGAGGGGTCACCATGAGTCTGGTCTGACTCGACGGCACATAACCACAACAACAACATGTCTTCCTGGAGGAGCTCTAGTGGCGTAGTGTCTAAGGCATTTGACTGCTAACCAGAAGGCTGGCACTTCAAACCCACTAGCCACTCCTCAGAAGGAATGTTGAGCATCTACTTCCATAGTGATACCACCTCAGAAACCCAAGGAGGGGTCATTATGAGTCAGATCTGACTCGATAGAAGTGAGTTTGGTTTGGTTTATGTCTCCTTGGTAGATTGACCCTTTAGTCATTATATGTTCCTTTCTGGCTCTGGTAATTTTCTTTGTTCTGAAATCTGTTATATCTGATTTTATTATAGCTACTCCTGCTATCTTCTGCTTAATGCTTGAATGGGTTATCCTTTGTTGTTGTTGTTGTTAAGTGCCTTTGAGTCGTTTCTGACTCATAACGACCCCATGCACAGCAGAACGAAACACTGCCCGATCCCGTGCCAGCCCCACAATCCCTGCTATACTTGAGCCCATCATCGCAGCCATCGTGTCAATCCATCTCATTGAGGACCTCCCCCTCTTTCGTTGACCCTCCACCCTACCAAGCATGACATCCTTCTCC